TTGTCAAAATTTTGGTGTCGATCATTCGATTTCATCCTGGACACTACAGAAAATGGGCTAAAAGTGTTAAAAACCGGAATTTTCCTTTAATGTCTTTCTTTGACCCTGGTAATAAAACAGCTTTTGTTAATCATTCCAGAAAAAAAAAGACTAGTGTAACATGAGTAACTACTCATGATTTGGCCAATGTGCAGTCTGACCTTGCAGACCCGGGCGACCCGAGACACTTTGGACTGGCTTGGATAAGCGATCTGCTCCTGGCTTCTCTCGGTGAAGAAGAAGTAAATCTTGTCGTCGTCGCCTATGGAGCTGTTGATGCTCTCCTTCAGCAGCACAGAGCCAACGAAATCTGCCTCTGTGCACACAGACCCACATGTCCAAACACAAAACTGTTAGTGTCTCCTTGGAAACTGAAGATGAAGGAAGTTTAAGTATGACTGGATCACAATAAGAACATGATAGCAAAACATCTTTTATGTCATGTTTTTTTTTTCACAGGTAGGAATTTCTGTTAACTTTTAATGAACCAGTTTTTAACCAAACGTCTTTCCTTTTCTTTCCCTTTTTTTTGCAAGATAACGCCAAGCATTTCATCTTTGTGATAAAAAAAAAGAATTGATGCATGCTTCTCAGTAATATAACCCTGAAATGCTTGGCAACCATGTTTTACTACAGCTGCTAATATTTTAGTTATGTCTTCTATCTTAAGAGATCTTGACACTGACATCTTTGCCCTTCTTCTTTATATAACAGCTTTAGCTCCATCAGACTGAATGAAGAGTGTCTGCAATCACCTACTTGGGACTTTGTCTAGGCCACTTTAAGAGATTCATGTGCTTTGATCTAAACCTGCCACATTTCTCCCTGTTTGTTTACAGTCATTGTCTCCCTGAACAGTAAACTATCCCCTTAGGTTTAAGTCTTTTCTTTTTTTTTTTTGCACCCACTACATGATGCTGTGTGTAACATACTGGGGTGTGAAGGTAAATAAACACTTTAAGGGTTATTATAGCTGAATAAAACTGAAATTGAAATGGAGAAAACATTTTCATTATTTGAAATAAATAAAACCTGCAATCAGAGATAAGGTTTGTAATATTTACAGGGATTTACTGGCATAAATGTAAAATATTATACATAAGTAAGTTATATTTCTTTATGTACAGGTCCTTCTCAAAATATTTGCATATTGTGATAAACTTCTTTATTTTCGATAATGTAATGATAAAACTTGAACATTCATATATTTTAGATTCATTGCCCACTAACTGAAATATTTCAGGTCTTTTATTGTCTTAATACGGATGATTTTGGCATACAGCTCATGAAAACCCAAATGCCTATCTCACAAAATTAGCATATCATGAAAAAGGTCCCTAAACGAGCTAAAGTATGCACCTAATCATCTGAATCAATAAATTAACTCTAAAAACCTGCAAAAGATTCCTGAGGCCTTCAAAACTCCCAGCCTGGTTCATCGCTCAAAACCCCGATCATGGGAAAGACTGCCGACCTGACTGCTGTCCAGAAGGCCATCATTGACACCCTCAAGCCAGAGGGTATGACACAGAAAGATATTTCTGAATGAATAAGCTATTCTCATAGTGCTGTATCAAGGCACCTCAGTGGGAAGTCTGTGGGAAGGAAAAAGTGCGACAGAAAACGCTGCACAACGAGAAGAGGTGACCAGACCCTGAGGAAGATTGTGGAGAAGGGCCAATTCCAAACGTTGGGGGACCTGCAGATACAGAGTGGAAACATCCAGCGTGCACAGGCAGGTGCAGGAAATGGGCTACAGGTGCTGTATTCCCCAGGTCAAGCCACTTTTGAACCAGAAACAGCAGCAGAGGTGCCTGACCTGGGCTAATAACGTTCATTATTATGGAAAATAATGGACTTTATCACAATAAGCTAATATTTTGAGAAGGACCTGTATGTGTTGCCTTAGAAATTGATATTATATTATAATTATATAGGATATACATATTATAATTATATAGGAGAAGATCTTGCATTTATCGAAACATCTTTGCTCTATGGCAGCAAAGAGCTGACAAACTAGTGAAGAGATCACCATTACACTCAAATGTTACTGTGGGAGGTTAGGCCCATATATATATCTATACCATACACAGACTAATACAATACTATTGATAAACAAACCTCATTATCATCTGATAACAAAGGTGATGCGGACGTTTCAGCATTTTGTACCATTACAGCCTCAGTATTGTTGGACCATTAAATGTAACTAAAAATGACGTACTGTAGCTTTAAAAAAGAAAAACTATGAATATCTGAAATGGTGTTATGTTTGTAAAACTAACTAAAACCTGCAATTACGGCAGATATCTATGGTTCATTTTTGTGTTTATCAGTTTTCTGTGAGCCTTGCAAACTAATAGGACACACTTTGTAGTTTGTTACCCCGCAGGACTCAGTTTAAGTCTGTAATTGAACCAGGGGTTTAAATATGTTAACTTTTTATTACTCATATGCACAATTTCATACATGTAATACTCTGAATTTATGAATCTTGTGCCTAAAAAGTACATAAAGAAATCTAATTAGTTTCAGAACTAAGGAAAATAAAACTAAAAGTAAACATTAGAATAATAGCAACTAAGAAAAACTAGCAAACCAAAACTGAAAACTAAATAAAATTAGAATAAAACAATCTTAGACTGTTAAAATCTTGTTTTCTACGTTGTTAACTTTTATCGAAAAGCTTGATTTTTTTTTTTTTTTTGTCAATCCATTTAACTATTATGGTAAATAAATTTAAGGGGTGTAAAGAAACCTTATCACAAATATTCAGGACTCGATAATAATACGTAGTATATTTATAAATTATTGTGTAGTTACCGAGAAGCCAGCGGGTGGGGGCCTCCTCCGTCCTCAGAGTGGGGAAGGGGAAATTTCTGCGGATGTCTGGTGAGCTGCGAAACTCATACTGGGAAGCCGAGAACATTTCCCCATCTGAGAAACCCATCAGAAAATATGTTGGATAAAGACAGATTAAGATAGAAGGGATTTAAGATTTTAACTATTAATATCAAGCGGAAAAAATGACAGATGGCTTAAAGTCCAAAAATCTCTCTTGTTTTAATGCATACAGCCCTCAGCTTCTTACTAGTACACTTATTGTTTATTGCTAGAAATGAAATGTCTACAAGACATGAAAATGTTCAAACTTTTTTTATCTATTTTTATAAAATGAGAGGGAAAAAAAATCCCTAAAGAAAATAGTCCTCTTTAAAAGCACCTTACCCCAATTTTTGGTATCCCTGTTCTATGCCTCCAACAACTGAAGTCAGATCTCACACCTATTTGCCATTAGGTCATTTTACCGCACTGCTAAGAAGCAGCATTTATAAAACTGATAAGCAACAAGTTGTGGAGTCGTACCAATGAGCAGGCCGGTGTATCCCTTTGCTGGGTCATATGGACATCTATCTCTTCCCTCCTCAAAACCAGATGAGAAGTTAAACCTCTCTGTATCCTTACAGGAGATAAGACAAAAAACAACAGAAGTTTAAACTTTTCTTTTGCATACAAGGAGCCATATGTTATTTTATTCTTTGAACTTTCAGTCATCCCAGTGCTAAACCCTTTTCAGATGGTTTTGGGTTGTAAATACTCAGCAGATCATTAATTTGATCTTTGCTGATCTGGTTTTCCTATGTTGCAAAATAAATTTCAGATACTGTTGATATAAACCTCCTGAGGTCTGAACTGGTTGTGCATCTTAATGCACCTCCAGAATATTTCTAAATAACATCTAATTCAAGAATTCCTCACAGAAATTGAAAGTCATGCTTTTTATTAATCCAAGGTGCAACAGATAATCTAACTAATGTTAGCCCTGTTGATTTGTTAGCTCTCTTGTGTTTTAGGACTACTGCTTAAATTTCTCAGAATAGTTGGATAAAAACAATGGAGAGAGATAAAACACAAAATATGATGTAATGGTTCCCAAAGTCATGGAGAAGAAAGCTGACTTTAAAGCTGTCCTGAAGTCAATGAAAGTTTCCATATTTGCACAATTAGCAATTGGTGAAAAAGCTGCTAAGAGCAATATACAAGATTATAAATGGAAAGTTGAGTGGAAGGAAAAAATACTAGCGCCTCCCTTCTGATTTTCTAGAAAACGAAATCTCTCATGGTTTATTCAGGTGTTGAAAGTTTTTATATTTCAAGATCACATAATTTTAAGTACATCTGTATGCTTGTTGTGTTTAGTAATAAGTGATTTTAAATATGCAAAGCATTGAACACTGCAGTAAAGTCCAGTAAGTCTTACTATATAAGCACAGAGAGGTCTGAAGGCATTTGTTCCACAGACGTACAGGTGAGTTTCATTGTATCGTTGCAGAAAGCGGATGTGGTTGTAACATTCTGTCTGCAAAGAACAGAGAAAATCTGGTTGGTTATGCTTTTCAACAAAAAGTCCACTTTGTTGTTTTGCTGAAAAACATCAGTCTGACATGATCAGTTTAAAAATTAGACTGAAGTAACAAAAAAACTAGATAAATAACTTATTTAGGCAGAAAATGAAAATAGTTTAATTAAGACTGTAAATGTGTACCTGATTGTTTCTGCCTTTGTTTAAACACTGCTTCTTCTGTTCAGGGGTGACATTCCAGTCAAGCTGTAAACAATGTGGGATCATATAGATGACTCTCTTCAACCATTAAATAAAAGGCACTGACATTGATTAATAGACTCTAGAGATGGACAGGAAGGGTAGCGAGATACATAATGGAAAAAGAGGGTGTGAATGTCTGAGATAAATAGGAAAACAGAGAAGCACAACACACACTATTTTCTGACTGCTTCACTAAGTTCTAAATCCAGTAAAGCTGTAAATAAATTCTTGGTACATTTAAGCCAATATCCGTAAAAGCCAGAGGAACACAACAGGATTTACTCCGACTGTCTGCTTAAGGCTATTATTAGATTTTCCTCTTTCAGACTTTTTTTTTTTTTTATTCTCTCATTAAATTAGTTTTGCAGATTTTTTTTTTCAAACAAAGAAAATAAGTGGGCTTTATTTTGGCTTGCAGCAAACACTTACAGTGAGGCTTGCAGATGTGGAGATATTGGAGGTGTTCAGTGCATATAAAGCTCCTCTGCCTCCCACATACAGACGCCCAGTCTCCTCCTCCAGCAGCAGGGTGCTGTAGTTCTGGGATGAGCCTGTGAAACCATTGCTGCCCAGCATTCCTGTCAATAAAACACACAGGTTGTGACAAGAAGTTCCAACACCGTCCAAATCTACATGATAAGACATCATTGATTAGTCCACTTACCAAGCAAAGGTTATGTTAAATAAAAAACGTATCTAAATAGAACATTTCTAGATTTAGGTACGGTAAGTGTATTTTTTAACAAATCTTGCTTACTTAAAATGAAAAAAAATCCAGAATGATTATCTGAATGTGCATTTATTATCTAATTAAAATGAAAAATAGTGTAGAGTCAAACTATTACTTTAACCTCTTACACCCTAAGGGGGTATAAATAAATTTCTGCCTGACAAAAACACACAAAAGTAAATAACTTATAGCCTGAAAGCTATTAGATTTAAGAAGAAACTTTTGGTACGTCTGTAAAGGTAAGATGTCATAGAATGGTTTTCTGGTGTCAGCACCATTGTAGCTTTGACCCTGCCTGAAATATTAGGGACAAAATACAAAATATTTTGCATTTTTTGAACCTCGCCAAAATTTTCTTTGAAATAAACATTGCAAAACACTACCAAAATATTATTTATAGCACAAAAAAGTAGTACAGACTTTTAAATCTAAATGTTGTGTAAAAATATACCAAATTTGGACTCAATCAGATGAATCATATTTATTTTAGAATGGTATTAGTGAGAAATTTCTTAGGCGGAGAGGCCATTTTGGCACATTTATCCATAAATGTCACCAAACTGTGCCAAATGTGTTTTTTACATCAATACTGGGGGTTTGGTAAAATTACGAGGTCACGTAGCAGCTTGACCCGCCGGTGGGTCCGTAGGGTTCAAGGGGTTAAGGAATACACTAAATAAAAAAATGAATTTCTTTAAAAATGCAAATGCGGGTGTCCCAGCCGCTACTGTGCATTGTGATTCAGTTTATCTTTAAATGTTTTGGTCCGGGCTGTTCGGTGGTACAGTTTGTAGAGCTGCTGCCTTGCAGTGGGAAGGTCCCTGGTTTGATTCCCAGCCTTGGAACCCTTTGCAAGGAGTTTGCATGTTCTCCCTGTACGTTTACAGTAATTTCTACTTTGATTCCTCCTATAATCCAAAAACATTAATACTAGGTTAATTGTTATGAGTGTGGAAGTGGTAGAAGATGGATTGATTGATGTTTTGGTTAAAATACTGAATAGTGGGTAGAATACTTTAAAACAGCGGTCCCCAACCTTTTTTGCACCACGGACTGCTATATGTCAGACAATATTTTCACGGACCGGCCGGGGGGGTAAATACGATCAAGTAAAATGATACGACCGGCATAAAATAAAATACTAACAGCATAAAAATAAAACAACAAGCCGGTCCCATCTAGGCGTAATCGGAGACAATGACAGACGAAGTGTGCTCCTGATGTCCAGTCTGCTCCGTAGCTTTGTTTTGGTCGCTGTAACCGCAGAAAATCCCGCTTCACAAAGATAGGATGTTATAGATAGGATGAGTCTTGAACTAAATTAACCTGTGTCAAGAGGCACAGATGCACCGACTGATGTATTTGGGAGATAATGCTGCAATTTTTTATATTTTTCAAAATAAAACATCACTCAGACTCTCATCGTCGATATATATATATATATATATATATATATATATATATATATATATATATATATACTGCTTTAAAAGATAAAAGCAATTTGCCATCCTGGGTTAAAAACAACCCCTAAAAAGTAGTTAAACAGCATCAGGCTGTAAAACAAAATAAATAAATAAACTTCTACTTATAGTTACTTGTTAATTCTCCTTAAAAGCAACTGAGTTGTTAATTCAGTTAGAAATCCAATGAACCTCTAACTAGTCAATGTAACTATGCAATTGCATTTTCTGACACTTTTTTATAATAAAATGTCGATGAATTTAGATGACTTTCCTGTTATCAGAACTTTAAACATTCTAGTTCAACTATCAAATATTAAATGATAAATACTCAATAAATTATTAAACAATAAATGAAAATGACTACATACCTATAAACAATAGTAATCTACACCATTTTTAATGTCTGTGGTGGGAGAAGTCAGTCAAGACAATCGACTGAAAATTCTTTACATAAATTGATATTTATGCAAGCTTAAACTGGCCATTAAATAGAGATAATGTTGGAAACTAAGTACTTACTTTATCAAGCGATTTGATAGAACATTAAACATAAGACACAACATTTTAGAAAAAAATGAAAGTAAACTATGCAAGTGAATTTAGTAAAACACTGAAGAATTAAAGACCGATGTGTCGGAAAAGCAGCTTTATCAGTCAGTTTTATCAACCAGTAAGACAGTAAAAGGGATTTCTTTTGATTGACATAATTAGTCTTTGTTTTTTAGGATAGTGTGATTCAATCATAGGAATATCTAGTTCTGACTTTAGCAAGTGCTTCCAGTTGAGGAACACCATCACTACATCTGTGGGGCTTTAATTATTTTAGTTGCTGTCACACTAAGGTAGAGTCCTTACTGCTACACATAAAGTAATTAAATTAGTCCATTAATGAAAAATTAATGCAGTTATTTAGAACACTGTGGTTAAATGGCAAAGTTCTACACATGAAGAAAAACATGAATATATGCATATTACTACTGTAGGTTTTAACAAGACTGCAGCAGATTTTAAATTTTTTTTTTATTCATGGAGGATAGTTTGGCTTTTACTTCAAATTAGACGAATTTTTACCATGATTTTTTTTCCATGATGCAACTGCGTGAGTATTAACTGAAACACTGCAACTTCTTTATAATATTCAGCTTTGCACCAAAATGTTTTACTATTTCTTTCCTAACACAAACACAGGTGATGCTTCACACCAGAATAAGAAAAAAACAGATGCAGAGCTCACTGGCTCTGCTACAATTATTCTAAATTCCCTGCATCAAATGTCATATTATTTTGGTGATTTTCCATATCTCAGGACTTTACTGAAGGGTCAGAATGCAGCTGGAACAGGAAATCCGACGTTCGTGACACTAGAGCACAGGTGTCAAACTGGTTCCAGAAAGGGCCATGTGGCTGCAGGTTTTCTTTCCAACCAAGCTATGGCACACCAGCCTCCATTCATCTCATCAAGTCATCTTGTTAAGACTGGACTCACTTGATGACATGAAAGCTGTCCGGTGTGCTATTGCTTGGTTGGAAAGAAAACCTGCAGCCACACGGCCCTTTCTGGAACCAATTTGACATCCCTGCACTAGAGGATCTACATTACAGCAGAAAATGCCTCAAGCTGTTTATGCATCTCCTGCTCTATCAGAGATTATTGAACTCCTCTGCTTAAAGCTACAGTGTGTAATTTTCAGCGACATCTAACGTCCAGACTGCAGACTGCAGCAACATG